GATAGATAGATAGATAGATAGATAGATAGATAGATAGATAGATAGATGAGAGATCTCTAATCTATATCTATAGATAGATAGATAGATAGATAGATAGATAGATAGATAGATAGATAGATAGATAGACAGACATGTCCTTATCTCATATGAACCCTTAACAATAGTCAACTTCTTCCGGAAATAATCCTTTAGGGCTTCTAAAATCATCCTAACCTGTTTCATCTTCTACATTGATGGCACTCACCATTTACCTGTCTTTCGTACATGTTTATTGTATGTATCCTACGTATGAGGATGTGTAGGGATATATATGCATGTACATGTATGTGAAGCCCAGAGAGCCCTGGATGTTGATGCTTGGCCAGCAAGCTCCAGGATCTGCCTGTCTCCACCTCCTCAGACTGGGATTACAAGTTGGCACCACCATGGCTAGTTTTTGTCATCTGGGTTCTGGGGATTACACTCAAGTCCTCATGCTTGCGAGGCAGGCGTTTTGCGACTAAGCTATCTTCCCAGCCCCCGGGTACAGTTTACTGTCTTTTTGTTGTGCTGGTTATTGACCTTGGAGCCTCAAGCAGGCAGTCAAGTACTCTCACACTAGGTTCTATCCAGTCTCCAGTTACATTTCTTCTCATCTCTCAGCGGCTGAGAAGCTGCCGGACCAACTAATCCCATCCACACACCTCTCCTTGGTGTTCTCATTATGGCCTGATCTTTGAAACAAAATGTCTTTACGCACAGCCTATAAACCTGTATACTGGCTAGTTTTATGTCAGCTTGACACAAGCTGAAGTCATCAGAGAGAAAGAAACCTCAGCTGAGAAAAATGACTCTATAAGATGGGGCTGCAGGCAAGCATGGAGGGCATTTTCTTAATTAGTAATTGACAGGAGAGGGCCTAGGTCATTATGGATGGTACCATCCCTGGGCTGGTGGTCTTGGATTCTGTAAGAAAGAAGGCTGAGCCAGCCAATAGACAGCACTCCTCCACGGACTCTGCATCAGCTCCTGCCTCTAGGTTTCTGCTCTGATTGAGTTCCTGCCCTGCCTTCCTTTGATGATGAACTGTGCAGTGGAAGTGGAAGCTGAATAAACCCTTTCCTCCCCAAGTTTCTTTGATCATGGTGTTACATCACAGCAATAGTAACCCTAACTAAAGCCACCCGTATCTTCAACTCTGACCTCTCACTGGAATCTCCACAAGACACTTGCAGCTGGCTATCCCGAATGCTCTTCTAGAAGACGGACAGTGGTAGGGCTCAGATATCCTCACCCCTTGTCCTCCCCCAAGTCTATCCTCTCTATCAATGAAGATTTCTTAGGCAGATCCCTATTATTTACCATTTGTCTTATTCTTGCCAGTACTACACACTATATACCTTTTTGTTTTCATAATATCACCCCATAAAATGTACACCTCAAAACAGTCAGAGAGACTCATGTTTCTTTAATATGTTCTGAGCATTATGTAAAGTCCAATGTGGTAGCTCACAGGTACTCAAGAAATACCTGAGGAATACATGAGTAAACAAATAACAGTAACCTTAACGTTCCACATGGTTACAGTTGAGCCATTTCCTCTTGCTCCTCAACCTTCTCTCTGGGCTTCCTCACCTCCGTACAACAGTACCTCACCTGATCCCTCATCCGCACACCCAGAGGCTCACCAGCACAGGTGAGCACAAATTATACATCAGATGATATACCCTGAGTTCCCAGGTTTCTCCTTACTTCCATTACCTCAGTCAAGCTGCCATCATCGTTCATGTGAACTAGTGCAATGCCTCAAAACTAGTCTCTTGGCCCCTCTGAGATCCATTTTCTCAAATGGTAGCTCGAGTGAATGTCCTAAAAGCTAAATCAAATGAGGGCCTATAGAGTAGCTGCTCCCTTGGACTGGAAATTCTTTGCCCATGAACATCAAGAAGTTGTCGTTCAGTTCTAAACTTGAATGTCCCACTTTAAAAGCCATATAGTTCAAAGTAGCCATCCAACCGTCAAATGCCATATCACTTTATTCTAACTCTCTGCCAAGCCCTGATCACTACTCATCTACTTATGTATTTGTGATGACTTTCTCCCAGAGAAATCCTGGAAGAGTAGCTGCCTTGTGTATTCTTACTTATTATTAAAACCTGTGTTGGAGAAACAGAAAATGAGAACATGCTTGTGTTAGTGGTTGTGTCTATTTAACCTAAGAGGTACTGAATAAGATACAGATTGGGGGAAACTGTTTTATAAAGGGTTTTCACATTTTGTTTATTGAATTAGCTTTGCCATATTTTTAAAGGATTGGAAAAGCTAAGAATCAAGCTTGTTCTTTTTTTTTTTCTGTTGTTTGTTGACACACAGAGTCTCAGAAAGCCCAAGATATTCAGCATGCAGACGAAAATGACCTTGAACTCCTGACCTTCCTACCTTCACTTCCAAAGTGCTAAGATTATAGGAATGAATTAAGTGGGTTTCAATAAATACTTGCTCTTTCTGAAGACCTCTAATGTAGATGAACACATCAGCTCCCATCCAGACTATTAGACATTTACAGTTTGCCTACGCTGAATGATACCATACACCAGACCTTTGCCTCATTGAATCGTTGTGACATTTCTGGGTGGGAAATTTTAACACCCCTGTTTTATAAGTAAAGAAAAACATTATTAATTTGTCATCACACATACACACACACACACCAAAAAAAAAAAAATTAGATTAGTCTTAAGACCAGATTTATTGGATGCCAGAGCCAGCATTCTGTGACCTAAAGCTATAGTGTTTCACCATATGCATGTCAATCTCCCTGTCAATTGTCTATGAGCCCATGTTTATTTTTTAATTTTAAATAAGTTTTTAGTAAATGAATAATGGATGAATACATATGTAAATGAATTCTCTAGTATTAAAGGAAAGTTGTGGGTAGGCACTTTCAGTTCCTAGGGAGTCATATGTTTATTTACACATACACACATTTTCATCCTCAAAATAATTTCATGTAGCAGGAAGTATTGTTGTTCTTCTTTGCAGCTGAGGAACTGAACAGAAAGACTAAATATTTGAATCATGGTTAAACAGCTGACTAGAGATCGAACTGGGATTTAAATTTAGTCTTCCTGCTTCTGAAACCAACATTCTAAAACTAATATCCCTACATCATGGTTCCTTCGCTCTAAACAGCTATCAGAGGTTCAATAGTTGTTTTTTTGTTTGTTTGGTTGATTGTTTTGTTTTGTTTTTTAATGTTGATGAATAGGTTATCTATGGAACTTTTGGCAATGGCTATTGGCATTCAGCAGGCAGACATCAGGGATTCTTGTCAATGTATTCCTGTGTAGCTGCTGCTCACCTCAACAAAGAATAACCCAATCCATTGAGAGACTAGTGCTGAGATTGATAAAACTTTGAATAGCTCAAGGAATTTAATGGTAATGAGACATCATTTTAAAAACAACAAAAATGCCTCAAACCCCACATAAATGGGTTCATGTAATTCCTCTGAGCCATCACTTGGCAAATTAGGATCACACAGTTGTGTAATTAATATGACATGAAGTAGTTCAGCTATTAGTGTAGGACAAACTTGCTCAGTAAGCAGAAATTCGATAATGGAATGCAACAGACAGAATGACTCAAACTGTACTCATATTGTGGGAAGTTCTACAAACATATAGGTCAAAAAAATTACAGTATGACCCAGAAAACAGAGCCAATGAGGCTAAAGAAAACTGTATCGAAGATAGCTGTGAAAAGCCAAAGTTCATGTCACATCAATAAGCAAAATGTAGTGAAATGATGAAAAGGATTTATCACCATTTAATTCTTCTCACAGAGTAGCTTTGGCTTTAGTTCTGTGAATGTCTCAGAATGGGCCAGGAACTCCCATTTTTGGACTCATGGAGGAAACAGAGTCTGTTATTGCTCTCTAGTTTCTAAAGGTAGGTCCTGAATTAAACAATTTATCCTTCTTATTTCATCTTCTTATTTAATCTCTAGTATCTTCTTTTGCAATTTCCTTCTCAAATATTCCAAAACTCATTGAGGGCATTGGTTTGATATCTGAAAGAAGTAGGTCTGAGACTATAGGAAAATTAGGTTGTCATAACTTATAATGTGATCTCCGTAAGACTGACACAAGGCCAAACATAAACCATTCAAAGGGCTTTCTTCCACACACCATCTGTACATCTTACTTCACACCACTCACAACAAATTAATTTCTCAGACATCCCTGGCATCCCACGTTTTCACCTACTTGTAAACAGCAGAGCCAACCTTCCTCCAACCCCATCATCCACACATCACTGATAACAAACCTCTGCTCTGAACTAATTCTCCATACATTTCATGCATTCCGAGAATGTCTGATATCCCTCCTTTAATATGCCAAATTACATCAGTGCAAAATTCATCTCCAAAACTATCTGGCTGCCTAAAAGGCAAAACAAACTTGGAAGGAGTATTTCCAAGTGTATGTTTGTAGGTGTATGCATATTCATGCATATTCATCTAAGTGTGTGCATATGAATATTCATAAATACACGAATGCACATGCATGTGTACATTCATTAGTGGAAACCAGAGGAAGTCACTATAATTTTTGAGATAGTGTATCTCACTGAACCTGATTGATGTGGATAGCTTGGTTGGCCAATGAGCGCCAAGGGTCTAGGGAAGCCAATCTTTATCCCTCCCAGCAGTGACTTTAAAGATGAATATCATCACACGTTTTTTTTTTTGTTTTGTTTTTATGTGGATGATAGAAATCTGAACTCAGGTCCTCATGCATGCATTGTAGACACTTTACCAAATGGGCCATCCCCTAGTCCTAGGAATATCAACATTAATGTTACAATTAACATGCTATTTTTTATAATATACATCTGTCTGTATGTATATTATACATACAGACTGGCTCATGAGCTGGCTCTTCTTTTCAAAAACAATAAATAAAAATAGCAACAATAACAACTTTATATATAAGGACTTTCTCTGTGCCATGCTCTGTGGGTATTTGCACAGATCATCTCAACGAGGCAGATGCTATAATGTCCTTCTTTTTCTCTCCCTGAGGCTCAGAGAGATTGTTCGCTGAAGCACACATACTCTGCAGATGGCAGGAGGGCGATTCGGGCTTAAGAAACTTGACTGCATATTCCTCACGCTCCCCATTGCCTCCACGGATCAATACATTTACAAACTGTCACAAGGCATTTGCCAGGCAATCCCAAATTAAGGGATAGTCCACCCAATCCCAGAACAGTGCTTGTCAAAACTGATATGTTCATCCAAAAAAAGGAAAGTACGGAGAAACTGTCAGTGTATAGAAACCTCCATGATAGCGGTTATTGGCATTCCAGGTGCCATTCTGGGACAGCAAAAGACATAAGAGTAAACGAAGGATACTCTCGGAACATGGATTTCAGGTGATGATGACGTATCAATACCAGTTTATCAATTACCAAAGCCATGTCATGACTCCCATTAACAGGAGAAAGGATATGAGGACACACTGAACCCTCTGTAATGTCTTTGTAGCTGTTCTGCAATCTATAATTATCCTAATGTGAAAAGTTTATTTCTCAAATGACATTTTTCAATAGTCTCTCTCTCTCTGAAAGTAAGAGTGACTTTTTTCTTTTCTTTTCTTTCTTTCTTTTTTTTAATAAGTGGCTTTTTAGCCAACTGTGATTGTACAAGCTTTTAATCCCAGCACGGGGGAAGCAGAGGCAGGCAATCCCTGTGATTCAATATAGAGTCCAGGACAGGCAGGGTTATTACCAAGAAAAACCTTTTCTCGAAAAACCAAATTAAAAAAATGTGGCTTTTTAATTTGATATGCAAGCTAATCATGTGAGGATTCTGTCGAAGTGAGATTTTAATTGCAGCTCCATAATTTCTAATAAAGCCCAGGTGCTGCTGGAGCCACTGGTGATGCCATAATAAGGGTCACACTTCCGAGACGGTAGGTTTTAAGACACATAATAATATTGCCACGTGTGTTTAAGTCATTTGAATGTGTAAAGGGGTTATTTCCACGCAGCAGTTTTCTTTACAGAATTCTCTCCTGGGCAATTCTTTTGCTAGAAAATCCTGAAACACCGGCCATAGAAACCCAAATACTGTTACTTGCTTTATGCCAGTGACAATATTATGTCTCCCTGTACATTCCAGGAAGAATTGGGCTTTATCCCAAATCCATCTACCCCCACACCTCTGTGACCTGTGTGTACACCTGTATCCACATTACTGCACCCTTCAGTATCCCTTCAGCATCCAGTGTCTGTATCACAAAGTGACGTGTCCCTCGGTGTCTACTAACTTCTAAAGCAGTGGTCCTTAACCTTCCTGAAGCTGTGTACCTTTAATACAGTTCCCTCGTGTTGTGGTGACCCCCAACCATAGCATTATTTTAGGTGCTACTTCATGACTGCAGTTTTGCTACTGTTATGGATCGTAATGTAAATATCTGTGTTTTCTGATGCTCTTAGGTGACAAGTGTGAAAGGGTCATTTGACCTCCTCCAAGGGGTCACGACCCATAGGTTAAGAACCACTGTTCTAAAGGAACAAGAATACAGCAGTGGGCTGAGTTAATTATTCAATGCTTAAACCCGTAATTTTCTTGGAAGAATTACTAGGGATTTAAGTAGTTGGGAAAAAAGTTACAGGTAGTTTTTGTAGAATTCCCACTCACCGTTTTCTTCATGGCAGTAGTCAAATCCTGCCACACTACACCTTCGAAACACCATCTTATTTTCAGTGAGGGTCCCTGTCTTATCAGAGAAGAGGTATTGAATCTGGCCAAGATCCTCAGTGATGTTCAGAGCACGGCACTGAATGGTAGAATCCATCTTCTCATTGTAGAAATCTACATCACTCTGAATAAAATAGATCTGTCCAAGCTTCACAATTTCGATGGACACATAGAGAGAAATGGGAATCAAGACCTAGTAAAGTACGAACAATTTAAAAACATTAACGTCAGCGAAATAAGGAGAATATAGCTAGATAATGAGCTATATATTCTGCTAGCCTGGCAGAAATTACCTGCAACAAGATGACCATAGTCCAGAACACATAGAACCCTGTCAACACAGGTGATGTGACACGTCCATCTGGCTCAGGGATGTTAAAAAAGAGCATGTTTTCATACCTGCTCAGCCATATTCCGTGACCTTTAAAAAGTACAGACAGCAAAAAGGATGCTACAGAGAGAATATGCAAATAGAGAGCTACACCCCTCAAGAAAAACGGGTGAGAGAGTTTGCTTTCAACATTGTTTTTCCTTTAAAATGAGCTCAAACTCAAAGGGCTGCTCAGCCTCTTGTCTTTGACTCTCCCTCTAAACCTCCTCCCAGGTCCCTTCAGTACTGTGGCAAAGTGTGAGTGGATACACCCAACGACAGGGTTTATCGAGCTGAAGGAAACATGTTGGAAATTTTGACAAATAAAAAACCTTTACCAAAACCAATCATGGATGTTATTTTGGAAAGAAATAGTATAAGATGATACTGACAAGATATTAATGGATAATTGAATTTTACCCACCCAGTGCACCAGTTAAACACATTACGACCAGAAGCAGGACACACCAGAGGACATCTGTATTTGCCCTTCTCTCGAGTTTACTGCGCTTATACCGTGGTCCACTGTTGTTCAGCATCGCTTTGGTTTCATGACCTGCGTAGAAAACACACTGTGTCTCAGAACGGACAGCGTAGCAGCAGGCAGCAAGCATGCCTGTTGAAAAGCTCCCTGGCTCAACATTTCATCAACCATGGCTGCATAACATTTTGTCAGTCTAATCTCTTCGTATGGTTTATTTAGGAAAACCGGGGTCTGTGGTTAAGTTCATCAAGACACAATTTACCTTCTGTGGACTCCATTTTGAGGGAATGAAAAACGTTACCACATAGGAGGCACAGAGAAGATCATTGTAAAGGTAGGAATGGAACGAACCTGCATAAACCACAATGCCCACAACAGCCTCTGTGTTCCTAATGGTGCACCCTCTGAGCAATAAATTGTCCTTGCTGAGGCCCACACGTTCTCTGTTGGAATGTTCCCTGTAAGAAAAGGCAGCATGGAGATTTATTTTCAAAAGGCAAAAATAAAGAGTCTTGATCCTGGAAAGGTCTATACCCTGTGTGGTAAGTTTGACAGCTCACGGGAAAGGCCCTTTGCTTTTGCGGTGAGTAGGAGAAAGCAAGAACAAATAGGACAAATTGCAAATCCCCATTACTTCTTGTCAGTCACATTCCATTTCCACAAGAATTCCAAAACACTCTAAATATCCTGCATTGCTGTAACACACTGTATTTAGAGAAGGTAATAGCTGACGAAGGAGACAGTCTTGATTTAGAAAAGTAGTATTTTTGGTTTGGCTAAAATTAAGAGTCCTGCTGGCCACTGACATTGGTGACTTCTTAAGCCATTAGATGGAAGACTGATGGGAAACTGCATAACCAAAGGTGAAGACCAACACCACCAATATGATAATGGGACAGAGGACAGGTCTCCTAGCCTACAGGAAAGGAGGTGAGGGTCCCAGATCCATTACCAACGAATTGTAACCTGAAGTCTGTGGCTTCTAGGGTGCTGTGATACCTCTAGAGTCATAAGCAATAGTTTGTAAATATGTGTACATTCTGCTACTTTTAGAGACAGAATCTGACTCATCTAACAGTTTCTGAAAGACAAAATAAAAGAGCGAGAGAAACAAAGTCAGCCTCACTGGGGGAAAGAGACAGTCGGCCAAAGGCAAATGTGGTAAGTATTTCCAGCAAAAAATGGCCTGGTTCACTCAGAGAATACTATAGGAAAATAAAAGCAGAAGGCAAGGCTCAACGTAAAAAATAAAAATAAATTAAAAAAAAGCAATCTACTCAAACTGGAATTTCTTGGGATAGGAAAATTAAAAATTGATTAGCTAAATGTAAAGTATAGAACTTACTTTGGTCCTGTTTTGAATAAGACAATTTGTCAGAAAACATTTTTTTTTCATCAGCTAGAATAATATGAACAAATTCCTGATCGTAGATGAGGTTAAGAACTGGTTTTGCTTCTTCTCGAGTATGATAATGGCTTCGTGTTTTTTATAATGTCTTACCTGCTCTGAGTATGTGGTGATGTTATCTGTCACGGGGTCGGGGCAGGAAGTAAGGAAGATGGCACAAAATTACCACCACTGTGAAATGATAAGGCTGGGGAGAACCTGACTGCTCATCATACTTTTCTTTCCATGTTCACACACTTGGAAATTTGTGACATAACCTGTTGCAAAATTATCAAAGTAATAACTTGGCTAAACTATGATAGCAACAAGAGCAAGGAGCAAAGTAAGTGAAATAGTTACAAAAAATGAGCAAAAATTAACCTTTCACCCATTTGTGAAAATGTCATCTCAGTTTTATCATTAAATTTTGATGGTTTTCAAAGCAATAATCATTAACCTATAAGCTGCTGTTGTTTCTTACACAAGCAAAATTTGTCAATAAACCTAGAATCCTGACTATCTAGAACTGCAAGGAAAATAAAGTTTACAAAAGGAACCCTACAGAAGTTTCATATTGTAAAGAAAGAGGAAAACAGATTGCCCACTTTACTCCCAGCTTTATAGACTTTATTCCACCAGAGACCTAAACTTCTGTGCAATGTGATGTCAGCTCAAGAGACATCCCTGAGCAACCTAACTCGCCTCCCCAAGCATATTCCTTTTACATTGGAAGTTGGGCTGGGAGTCGGATTTTTTAACCCAAGCTGGCCATACACTCACTATCAAACCTAGGCTGGCTTTGAACCTGTGGCAATCCTTCTGTTGCAGCCTCCATAGTGGTGGGTTTAAAGCCCTCTGGTTTTGTAGATAAGGCAGTTAAGTCTAAGAAATCACGTTTACAAGTGGCATGTACAGGTGGGCATCAGCCAGTTCTTACTGATGTAACAGCATTTGCTGCAAAATCCTTATAGGGGGAGAGTGAAAACATAGTGATCATTAGGGTCAGTTCTCCTCCCTAGAAGCCACACTTTTCGTCATTAGGGCATGAGAAACAGTTTTTCCTAAAATATCTTGGTATGTTTTAAATGACCAGGTAATAGGATTTGGATAACTTTGATCTCTAAAAACAGGAAATTAGGTGGGAAATTTTCTCTTCCTGTCTAAGAATTATGTCTAATTTTTTCCTTTTAAAAATAAAATTAAAGAGTATAAGTTGGCTCAGAGTCATAAAATATCTAAGTATCAGAAGCCATGTTTGAGATGGAGAAGACCCCACATTATAGGTGTCTTTGCGAAAGGTTGAGGATGGTGCTCCAAGTGAGACTGAGTACTGCGAGGGTTTCCCACACTCTGAGACAGGCTTCCGAATCGGTGACTCTTTCCAACCAGAACTGCACACCTGCTACTCTACTTCCCAAGACGGGAACAGACCATCCAAGCGCATCATTTATGCCTGTACAAAAACTTCCTCCCAAACTTTAACATCTACCGAGCTTCACACGGAGCTCATGAAGATGGGCATGTCAATGCTTATCTGTAACCTCAAGAAGCTGAGAAAGAAGAGCAACAAATTCATGGCAAGTCTGGACTGCACAGTAAGTCCAAGGCCAGCCTAAGTGATATAGTCCCAGAAGATAGTCTTACACTATAGGAAACAATTCTAGGAATATTTTTAGATGGTTTTATTGTTTAGAATATTTTATGATACATGGAGATGAACATTTATTAAATTACTTAGGTAATTTATTACCAAATTATAGACAGCCTGCAGAGGTGACCTTGATTCACACTGTATTAAAATGTGTTTCTGTATATTCGATTGTTAATTGCTGAATCAGCAGTGAGCTAAATGCTAACAGATCTGATGCCGATTCATTACTGTGACCCATTACTGGCCTCCTGTTTTGTAAATCCTAAAGAAAAGGTCACACTGTCCTCTAACCCTAGACTGTTTAATCTGATTTATCTGTTTAACCTGTTTAATCTCACTGCTGATTGGCTGAGATGTGACAGCCAATAGTTAGGGCAGGAAGTGGAAGGCGGGATTTCCGGGCAGACTCTGGGAAGAAGAAAAAGAAGGATGTTTTCACCAGAGACACAGGAGGAGACAGACGTGACTACGGGCCTGGGAGGCCTAGAAGACCATTAAATGCTCTGGGATGGGGCTACTACATGGTCGGGTTAATTTGGATGAGAGTCCGCCCAGCGAAGCCTAAGCTTTAAAATAGTAAAAGGTCTCGGTGTCTTTCTTTCTATGACTGTCAAGTCACCAGGGTCTTAGAATAAAGCCAGACTTGCAGGCTCTAATGATTTACACCGGATATGAATATACAAAAACATCACTGAACCAAGCTCAATGTCTTTCACGCCCACAAGGGTAAGTTACACCTCACTCACAGGAAGCCTCGGAATCTGCTGAGGTCATTGTTTGGACTTTCACATTCTATCCTGCTGGAAAACTTCTCAGGATCAACTTCAGAGTCCTAAAAATATTTTGCCAAAAATCACAAAAGAAAAAGAATTTTAGATTAAATCTTGGTATTTAAACATTGCATCATTTTTGCTCAGTTCTTAATACATGCAGTAACTAAGGCATAGATCTATGCACATATATATGCATATATACATTTTACTTATTTATTTGTCTGTTTACTTTGGCTCAGAGTGTGTGCTGTGACTCTCCTACAATGAAGAGAGGATCCATAACAGAGATCAGAATGACTTTCTAGTTCTAATCCAGCATCCACAGAAACAGAAAGAGTAGGTTTTGGTTATAGCATGTTTCAAATTAATGACATGATGCAAATTACATGTTGAAATGCACTCAGGGCTCTGCATCAGAGCTTCCACTCAAGGAACAAACATTAGTGTCAGTTAAGGCCTGGAAGATATTTTGTTTTTGTTGCCTATAGCCTGATGGTTTGCCAGATTTGGAGCATGTGGAAATACCTTGTAATACAAAAGCATTCAATCTCAACCAAAGTTTATGAATAAAATGCCCAAATCTGCAGGACAACAGCATAACACAAAGTTCTCTGGTGGAGCAAGCAGATACTTTTATAATTCTGTTCTGAAACCAGAGGAGTTGTAGGCAAAACACCTTTCAAACCACTCTAAGCAGTGGCTTCAGTAAGAACAAGTCATAAGCCCAGGCATGGCGGCTCGTGCCTGTAACTCCAGCACTTAGGAGGCTGAGGCAGGAGGAGTGCTGTGAGTTTACAGCCAGGTGAGGCTACATGTAGTGAAGTTCAGGCTAGTCTGAGCTGCAGAACATCTTCTCAGAGAGGTGTGAGGAGAGAGTTTGGGTGTAGCTATTTGAATAATATTTTTATATCACGATAGCAAATACGGAAAACTTGAATTATATGATAATATGATTTGATTTGCCAGTAATCCCTATTGAGTTCTTTGATGTACTTCATTATGGACTTGAACTATATTAAATGATTTCTTTTTTCACAATCCAAAGAACAGCTGAGGACACACAGAGGACCAAATAGTTTGCCCTCACGTTCTCAAAACAAGCTGTCCATTACAAAGGGAGTGACTGCGCTCCTGTGGAGCTGGAACCAAAGCCTTGCCTCTCAGCTGACTGACAGCAGCTACCCAGCATTCAGTGCTGAAGCACAGTGCTAACTTGGACAAGGTGTTGTCAAAACCATAGGAGTGAGGCTGCTCAGAAAAGCAACAAAGTTATCGAGCGCAGAGGCTGACCCATGGGGCAATCTGCATGAAGATCCATGGATGGAAAAAGGGGCCCAATAGGAGATGAAATGCTAGGAGGAGAAAACAGTTTTTATGCATACAAGATGAAGAAATTCCAACTTATTAGTACTTCAGGTTAAAAAAAAATGACCATTAAATTTTAAAATCTTTTATCTCCAGTGTTTCCAGATCTAGAAAAAGGAACGTGATACTTAACTCTAAACATGGTTTTTCACAAGTCAAACCACAATGCTAAGAAAGAGACATCACTTGTTACTATGAGGAAACTCGGGCATGATGTATTTGAATAACTTTCACAAGATCATTACTTCATGAGTAAAACACACAAAGCAACCCGTGGCAGAGTAAGGATTTATTTACTCAAAGATATGAGTCCAATTTCCCTTATCACAGTAAGACAAACAGCCTAGAAGTCTGTGGCATGAGAAACCATAAAAGTTTTTTTAAGAGCTTTGGAATATAAGTAATTAGACATCTTAGGAAAAATGATGAAAACAAAAAATATAAGACCCTAAGAGTAAGAAAATGAAATCGGCCAGTGATTACTTCTATTGCAAATGAACCCTGCTGTGTTCCTCTAATGCAGACCCTAACAATCTGGTTGCAGGACAGAGTGTGACAGCTACAGGGTCACGTTTATTGTATTTATAAAACACAATACACGTCCACTGATAATCTGAAAACGGGTTAAGCCTTCTGCAATTCTATTTTATCGGCAGTAAAACTTAAATTAAAAATTTCTTTGCCTTGTGAAATCGAGCCCAGAGCTTTCCTGAGAAGGACTGCCCATAGCCCTCCAGCTGAGAAGACACTCTTTACCTGTTCTGCGTATCCGCGCACCACCTGCCTCTGCTTTAGATTGCTCTCTCCGTCGAGGCCAGAAGTCTCAATGTGGCAGATTCCATCCGGGTCCGTGGAAAAGAGCAAAACCATGTCTGCAGGAATGATCTCGTTGCAGGAGAGGCGAATGAAGTCTCCCACACTGACGTTTTTCCAGCAACAGTCAACGTATTTTTTTTCTTTCCTAAATTTGAACAGGGGTGAAAAAAAAAAAAAAAAGACTTAGAAAAAAGTAGTAAGATGAAACATAACTACTTCTTAAAATCTTACTGTGTAATTTATGAACTGGTAAAAACTGTTTCACAAAGGCTTTATTTGGAAAATTTATCTACTAAGTCACTTAAACATAATCTTTCGCCAGGCATGGTGGTGGCACATGCCTTAGAATTCCAGCACTCTGAGAGGTAGAGGCAGGCAGATCTCTGAGTTCGAGGCCAGCCTGATCTACAAAGTGAGTCCAGGACAGCCAAGACTACACAGAGAAACCCTGTTTTGTCTCCAAAAACCAAAACAAACAAAAAACATATTCGTTCAGATCTTTCAACCTAACTGTTGGATTTTGAGCCCTTATGCTGCTTGACTGCAGCTCTAGGACAGAACTACAATTAACATTACATGAATACATTCACATGTAGAACAGTTCTTCCCCGTGATTCTGTGACTAGGTTCAAGGACCTGAAGGTGTTATAAGACACATCTGATCTCAGAGAGCCCTGCGGCACACGCCTACACTGGATAATTAAGGAAAACCTAACGAAAGGCAGTACCCACACACAACATTAAATTTTTTTCTACCACATTACCACCTCTAATTCTTACTCAATAGAGATACAAGCAGCCTTCCACATCCACAGGCTCTGTATCTGACGATTCCAACAACTGCAATTCAAGAATATTTGGGGGAAAAAAAACATGTACAAAATATGTACAGACTTTTCTTCCTGCTATCATTTCCTAAAGAAACACAGTTAGCGACTACGCCACTTTTACATGGTGTTCAGATCTAAAGACTAGTTAAAGTGCACAGAACAAGCATTAGCTAAAAGCTGGTGCTGCAACATGGGACTCGGGCATCTCAGTGAGTCTCCTGTGCACTCCTACCCTCTTCCCAACACTGGCAGGTGAGTTTACTCCTGATTTTGCAGCCGCTGACCTCTGCATGAAGAACTGTAAATTTCATCCCTTTAAAAAATATTATTTCCCATTCTGTACTTTTTCTAATATTTTATTGTTCTGTACCTTTTTAATTACAGTTTGTATACATGCACACTGGGCACGGTGGCACACACTTGCAACCCCAGCATTTAAGAGGCAAGGATCTCAAAAATAAGTAAGCAAATCGATATGTTGCAAAGCTATTTATTTTCTGTTGGGTTGATGGAGATAGAATTTGTATCCACTCCCAAGAATCCTGGGAGTTACTTAAGCTGTATGATATATTAAAAGTCATTAATTCATCAGATTAAACGGAAATTCTGCCCTAGATTACTTGGATAGCTTCTATCATCCAAGCTCCATCAGCTTCGTAAAGAAATGCTTAGTTGGAAGGGCTAAGGAAATGTAAATAAGTCTGAAACTTTACAAGTGCCTACTGTACAACATCAAATGTAACTTTACAGAAAGGCAAATCATTTATTTTGTTTTTCTAAAATTCTCTCTACTGTCTATGCATACTACTGAATTTTTTTTCTGGAGAGAAGTAACAGAAAATTTTAAAAAACGGTAGAGGTTATACTTTGAAAGCTTAGTCCCAAATGCCACACATATCTAGAAAAGGGGAATTTATTCTACAGAAAAGGGGAGTCACAGAAGTTCACCAACAAAGGTGTGTCCCTGCACGTTTTTATAGCAGAGTAACAAACTACTGAGCAGCAGCCTAGTTTAGTGGTGGAATAGACAAAAGACCAACGGAAAGTTACTGAAATAATTCAAAAGAGAGGTAAGAAGGCTCAGAATTAGGGTGGTAGCAGGAAAGATGAATAAAAGATTAAATGAAGACATATTTAGGTACCAGAGAAAGCCATTTCCTGACTTGTTGCATGTAAAGCACATCAAGGATGACAGAATGATTCCTAATTTGCATCATGGGATGACAGACGATACCCTTCACCATGTCCCAGTTTTTGGAAGCAACTAGTTACATCTGAGGTGAGGGAGCAAATTCATTTTAAGAAGCTTTTATGTCATTTGGGTAGCTGATGTATAATGCAAGTGTAAAATTCTTATCCAGATGTGAGTGAAGACGCAGATGTGGAAGCCCTTGGTACATAAAAGGCAATTGGCAACAGCCAAAGAATGATACAAGAGTCCTTAGGGAAAAAAAGACTTTAAGAAGACAGGAAAGTGTAAGAATATCCAAAAAGAAATGATGTAATAAAAACCAAAAGAGTTGAACTCAGGGGTCTTCCCAGAGACTCATACTCCAACCAAGTACCAGGCATGTAGATAACCTAGAACCCCTGCACAGATGTAGTCCATGGCAGCCTCCGGCATAATCTGATTGGCCTGCTCTTTGATCACCAACCCCCCTGAAAGGGGGAGCAGCCTTACCAGGCCACAGAAGATGACAATGCAGCCACACCTGATGTGATCTGATAGACTATGATCAGAAGGAAGGAGAGGAGGACCTCCCCTATCAGTGGACTTGGGGAGGGGCATGCGTGAAGAAGGGGGAGGGAGGGTGGGACCGGGAGGGAAGGAGGGAGGAGCTTATGGGGGGATACAAAGTGAATAAAGTGTAATTAATGAAAAAAAAAAGTAAAAACAACAACAAAAAAAAAAAAAAAAAAGGAGGAGAAAATTTCAAAGTGGAGTAACACCAGTCCAAATCTAAAAAGGGACCCTATTTAATAAGGACCAGCACACCTATGTCATTTGCTCAACAGGAGGTCTGATAGCCTTCCAGAAGGGTGATAACATGAAATCTCTTGAGAGGAAGAATGGAGGAGTAAGTTGAAGTCTAAGGGGGTCACCCTAGCTGAGACTCCTAGCAGCAGGGGATTTGGAGCCTGACGTGGCCACTTCCTAAAGCCAAGCAGGACTTCCAGTAAAGGGATAAGGACACCAATCCACCCCCAAAACCTCTGACCCAAAAGCTGTCCTGCCTACAAGATATGCAGGGACAAAGACGGAGCAAAATTTGAAGGAATGGCCAACCAAGGACTCCCCCAACTTGAGACCCATCCCATGGGAAAGAACCAATCCCTGACGCTACTTTACTTGCAGACAGGAGCCTAGCAAAACTCCTCTGAGAGGCTTCACCCAACAACTGATGGAAAGATACACAGACCCAGAGCCAAACACCAGCAGAGCTAGGGGAGTCCTATGGAAGAGATGAAATGACTGAGGGAAATGACTGAGGGAGCCGGAGGAGTCTTAAAGACAATGGAAAGAAATCCATGTCTTCTGTATTAGTTCATTCCAACTTAATTGGAGTATTCAGAGCTTCAGTGTTCAATTTCTCAGCACCGTTTGTTGTGTTTATGACATTTATCCATAGAAACTACTTTGTGACAAGCCAGATATTATGAATATGAAACAAATTTTTTGCATGGAAATGTCAAGACATTTGCTACATTTAAAAGCCCCATGCTTAATTCGTCCTGAATTTTCTGGGAAATATTTTTCTTCCATAATCTTTTCAATATTCCATGAGATTTAAATTAGCATATGTAAATCAACACTGTGTGGCTTCATAGCCTATTTTTATTTCTTCTCATCTTTATTGTTCCAAGGACAATTTGGGGGAGAATCTATAATAAACATTATTTCTTTCATAGCTCTGAGCAAAAATAAACTACCTGGAATAGAGATAAAAAGATTTCAAGTTACCCAGTCTCTGATGAAATGCAGTCATGAGGTGATAAAATGGATATTAACTGACCAGAATAGTGCATTTTATCACTGAATGAATATGCGAATCATCTAAAAGGATCCCAGAGAAAAGGCTCTACCAAGTCTCCCACTGAGCAGTTAAAGTCTTACATGTTAATTAAATGGCTTGCCTATGCACCAAGAAACCCTCTTGCTAACCGCCATTAACCTGCCATCATAGTGCTGGTGGCTAACCTTTATTTAGCTCTTAAAATACACTCATCATGGTGCTTTCTGTTTTATTATTATATTCATGATGAAATAAACTGGGCATTAGCTAGCTGAGCATTAGAAATCTGCCCAGGGTCACAGAGCTAGTAAGTAGGAAAAAAAAATCAAGATGATAACTTTTTAGAGAAATACAGAAATTAAAGACACATTATGGACTGTAATCCTAGTGGTAAACGTCAACAAGAATTTACATTTACAAGACTCTGTATGCAAAATGCAGACGCACATACGTATTACACACAAATACACATGTGTAGTGTCCTTCCCTTCTGCTGAGCTTGGTATTACCTGGGCAACCTCAAAAGTGTCAAAATCTGGATTCTGTCACTATGTGATCATTGCGATATTTGATTTCTTCTAGCTAGTGTCCAAATGTCAGTTTGGTCTAGTGTGTCGCCTCTCTCTCCCTAAGTACTCAAGGGATTGGAATTGGTGCACACATTCTCAGTGGCTTTCAGCTACAAAGCAGAGACATTTACTCTAAAACTATTTTAGTGTCTGGTAACATGTAACAGGGTTTTCTGTGTGCGTGTTTGGGGGAGGGGAGACTCCTTCATAAATAGCATAAAAATTAGAACTATTTCTTTTCACTATTCAAGTTAATCTCACATCAGCTTACAATGATGAAAAATGAATTATTTCCCTTGTTTTCTCAATAGATGTTTGGACAAATGTTGTGAGAGCTAGTGAAGAAGTCTAACTTATGAACAGAATTCACTGCCACGTCTTTCAAACAAGTTTTTATCTTTGATTCTCCTAAGATTGGGGACAAGCTGCCCTGGGCCAGGCTGTTTACTACATACTAACTTACATTTAGAAAGAAGCACCCAGGAGCTTTCTGAATCATGATTATCCCTGTTCAAAACTCACCTTACCTGAGTTCACTCTTGGACACACGGACTTTCTCTTTGCATACTGCCAATGAAAGCATGCAACCGAGCAGACAGGCTCCTGCATAAACCCTCTCCTGCGGTGGCCTCCCTCAGGCATTGCTGCAGTAGGATGCCTCAGGTTTTATGCACAAAAAGAATTCTTTGGTTTTCAAAACCCTTTTCTCCACAGATTACTCTTGACTTCTCATATTCCATCCAGCTTTTTGTGTCTGTTCAAGTTGTTTTTCCTGCTCTTGATCCTCATCCTGGTTCTCACACCTAGGCTGACAACTACCTTGCTGACATTATAGGGGTACTGAACCCAATTCTCAATCCAGTTCAAACCCTTTCAGTTCCCCTGTGAGTGAGTCAGAAGTTTGGTTTTCTCTTTTGTTTTGTTTTTGTCAAGTTCCTCATTGACAATTGCTTTTGATTCCCCTCTATGACTTCAATTAAATTCACTGAGGATTTAATGGGAACAGGGACTGTCTCTGACATGAACTCAGTGGCTGGCTCTTTGATCACCTTCCCCTTAGGGAGGAGCAGCCTTACCAGACCACAGAGGAAGACTATGCGGACAATCCTGATGAGACCTGATACACTAGGATCAGAAGGAAGGGGAGGGGGCCCTCCCCTATCAGTGGACTGAGGGAGGGGCATAGGTGGAGAAGAGGGAATGAGAGTGAGATTGGGAAGGGACGAGGAAGGAGGGCTACAGGTGGGCTACAAAGTGAATAAACTCTAATTAATAAAAAATAAATAAAAATTATAACCAAAAAAAAGAAGTTAATTAAAATCAGTAATAATAACTGGGGATATAGCTCAGTTATTTTATATATATATATATACACACATATATATATATATATTATACATGTATACATATGTTATATAGATATGTAAAAGACTATGAAGTCCTAAGTTCAATCCCTGGTACCAGGAGAGGAAAACAGCAAAACAGAAACAGAAAGGATAACAACAGCAGCACAAAATGGGTCCTGATCATAGCTGAGGGTAGAAGGACTAACATGCTTATAAATGATAAATGATACAGTCGATTCCTTAGGGACACACCCATCCCACTTACCTACTGTAAACTTTGGTTATTAGATTGTTGATCTGCTTGTCAATTTTGTATTTCCGGTAGTCTTCCAAGCCATCTTTAATTGCAATAATGGTGAGGACCACCACCAGAGGCAGCATAGTGATTTCCTTTTGGAAGGCTTCTACCAAAGGCACCCAGTTCAGGACCACAAGGAACAGGAAATATAAATTGGCAGCCCTGCAAGCCAAGCACGGACAAAGAAGTTTAAAAAAAAATACACAAGAGCCAAAATAAAAGTGGCAATACACTGGGTTTTTTTGTTTTGCTTTGTTTGTTTGTTTGCTTGTTTTATGTGCTTTTTGGATAAGTCGATATTAGCTGATTTTACACATCACAGAACAGGGAAGTTGCAAAACTCTAACAGTTATAAAGTATTGTATCTATTGAGGATATTTGGCTTGGATCATAATTTTAATAAATATAAGATTTTTTTTTCATTAAGCATGCAATAGTGAAAATTTTAAATGGGATGGTCCTGAGTTATGTAACACATGGTTAAAAAAGAAGTACTGTTTTTTCTTTAAAAGTTCAAAAGGAAAACAGATTCTGAATCAATACATTAGATTGAAACAAGGCTCAAATGATCAGGGCTTCTTGGGTTTTTATCTCTTTGAGACATTTTGGGGTTTTTTGTTTTGTTTTCACACTATTCATAACAACAGTACTCCAGAAATTCTTCCAAAACTTCACTATTTCATATATTCAAATTAAAAAAGCACCAACAAGAAACTTCAGATCTGCATAGTTATCAGGAATTTTCCTTTGTCCCTCAACCATGAAACTCCTTAAAATAAAAATCTGCCCAAATGTCTCCTCTGTCGCCTCCAATTCATTTTGTTCTGAATTTTTCTTTCTTAACTGTTTTTGTTAGGTCTGAAATTACTTCTCCATGGATCACATTCAAGTCCATAGCTCCTGAGAACACCGTTAAGTTTTGGAATTAATAAACATAAACACCTCCAGCCCTGAAGGTTATCAATCCCACACAGCACAAACTGACACCAGCACTTTAAACATAGCCACCGTTCAGGAAATGTACACTGAACCTATGAAGTATAAATCTTGAGACTCTCTGGCCTCACTCAAGCAGCTCGGCTGCTTTTTTGGTCCTGGCTTCCCTTTTTTATCCTGGTAAGTTTTGTAGTCATCACACGCAACACGTACATCGAAGGCTCCTCTCTTCCGGTTATTTTCCCAAAGCTGGTTTGTAACATCTGTAATTGGCTGTCCTTCCCTTCATTCCCACACCCATGTCATAAGCATAGGTCTCCCTGACAGCTCAGCGGGATATATGAGGCAGCTCCCTAAATGCTCAGTTTTCTTCACTTTGTTTCTAAGTCCTTCCGTCAACTCACCCCACTGCGTCCACGGAGGCACAAATGTGTCCTTTTCCTCTTTAGAACCATGCCTGCTGTATTGAGTCTCAATTCTCTGTTCTGACAGCAATACTCCTCTGGTAAGTTAGACCGTCTGTCTGACATTATTTCCTACTGTTCTACAACATGGACACTAGGTATCACCAGAGAGAAAACGTCCCAGGCTTCAGGAGAGTCTTCTATGCTGAGGTTTCTGGACTTTCACTAACAATCCTTCCTTCACATGAAATACGCTTTGCCCATTCCTGGGCAGAGGACACTCCACCCTCCATAATTAAATTGAGTGTCACATCCCCTTCTATTGTCCCACTAGTAGTATGATTTCTCTCAGAGGCTTCCATTCTGGTTGATTACACTTTATGGTAAAGGGCAAAGCGACCGTGCCATTCCACTGTTTATACACACATCTGGAAAACCCACAGAATCCGTGAGGCCAGTAGCAGGTTACGCCTGTATTTTCTTCACATTCTAAGATCTCAAGTAAGCTTTGAGAAATGTCTGCCAAGCCAAATGATGTCCCCCTTTCACTTAATAATAACACCTTATTACATTTGCTTAAGAGTCCTTTTCTTTTTTTCTTTTATCAAGTAAAAAAAAAATCTACTATTAAAATGCAACGTGGTTTAATAGAAAGGACACTGAAGCAAGAGGGAGAAGGCCCAAGGCTATGGCATCCACTCTGCTGCTTATAGCCAGTGTGGCACTGACTGAGCCACAGCCGGGTTTCCTATCTGATAACACAAGGATAATAGCATCTTTCACCAACGGAAGATATCCTTCCAGCTGTAAAGAAATGTGTGACCCTAAGGCACCCTCACTCCAGCCTGGACTTGAACCTAAATTGCCTGAGATGATTATATACATTAAGCTTATGTAGCACAGGGACTATGAAAAATGAGAGGTTAATGGGAGTATCAAGTAGAAGAACGAAGAACATTCTGAGATTTCGCTTTCTCTAAAAGTACCACAGTACCTGTGAAACTGTTCAAATAAGTTTCTTGGCACAAAATTCAGTAGTGTGTACTTGGTTGTCCGTATTCGGTTATTCACGTAGGTTCCAGAAAACCTCTCGTACTCGTCTTTGAAGCACTGAAGGTGAGGAATAACAACGCGGTGCTTGCCTGCCGGTTTGGGCGTCTGGGAGGACTTGCCCCCACAGGCAAGCAGTGAAGAATAGTTGTATGGCCGCTCATCTTCATCCTGGGTTCTCCCATTCATCAGCCGATGCCAGTGATGCCTGGCCCACTGAAGAAGCTCAGTCATGTCCAAGATGCAGGGAGGCCCGGGTGGCGCAGGTGACCTAGCAAACAAAAACACACTTCCTGTAAGCCTCTGCAAGCTTGTGAAAGAGCACAATTTTCTTCTTCTTCTATACCAGACCAATGTGTGGCCTAGGGTTTCTGACATGTAATTGGGAAGGTACGGCTCATCGCTGTTTCTCCTCTTAAACCAAATTCTTACTAAAGCATGCCCCGTCCTCCTCAGGAGTCCTCCTTGGCTGATTATCTAAGCAACAAAAGACAGGGCCTCCAAGGCCTTTCCGTCACTGGGAGCCGCTATTTTGACTTTAATGTATGCAAGTCTCGTTGCTTCCCTGGTCATCAGCTTTCTCCTTTTTGAAACCAGCCTGTGCACACTGGCTGTCAGGAAGCTTAAAGGAGGAACATGCATGTGGTCCAGCCTTAGCTGGGTGGACAGTGAGAAGTCTGCCGGATCACAAACATGCCTACATGTTCTTCCCAACTCTGTTCAGCAAGAGGAGACTCCTTCTTTGCCTGACATCTTAGTCTACCTCACTCTGGCCATGGAACAAGACCCAAACAGAGGCTTGAAAAGCGTTGTCAGGTTCCTCGTTCTCACTGCTCCCCACAACTCTTGCACCACCATGAACACCCATGTGCTCACGCCAGTCAGCAGGATAAGCATAGCGGGTCCCCTCACACCAGCGTTGCTCTACATGTGTGGTTGAGGCTGACCACCAACACGTTAGTGCACTCAGATGACAACCCAGAACAAGGAAGAGCAGGAGTGGCCTCAGATGAACTGAACCGGACACAGGCTCCTGCCAGACTGACTCAATCAAGGTCATGTGCTAAACCCTAATTGACCCATAAACCCATCCTCATTTTTTTTTTTTTTACTTTTACATGTTCCTCATTTTCTCAGAACTGTACTGTTGAAGAGAAAAAGGCCCAACATTTATTAAGAGTTCACTATATTCCTCCCACACTGCAAAACCTTCTCTGTACATTATCTTAATATTGTATCGATTAGGGCTGGAGAGAGGGCTCAGCCATTAAGACTGTTTGCTCCCTGGAGACTTGACGCAACCTTCTGACCTCTCTGAGCACCCACATGCATGTATGCATACATACACACATACACATATATAAAAAATAAGGATCTCTAAAAAAATCACGCAGCTGATTCAAGTCACATCGTTCTGAAACAAGGGTTCATCGTTATTGTACCTCATTTGCCTGTGTATTTAGAGGACCCGACCCTTGGATAATGTCCCCCAAAACTCTCACTCTAGGGAACCAGCATGCCACCGAATATGCTTCGAAAAAAGTCCAGGGCCCTTGATGTCCATCTTGATTTGTCAATGTTACCATGTACATATCTACAGTGGGGGTGGACTGCCCATGTCTCTCACTCGGGAAATCTGTAATGTGTCATCCAGTCATCTAAATTGACAAATTCCCAAGTCAACACTGATGTGGGCACCTGTAGACGGTATGAAGGAAACCTGGGTTATGTTCTATTAGTGCTCTAGGCTGGAAACAGACATGATAAAGCTCTGGACCCCATTCTCCAAGAGCTGAGGGTCTAAGCGACCTATGCATGCAAATATGTAACCCTGGTGTGAAATCATAATTACAGCGCCTGTCATCAAGATCATTTAGCTGGGCGTGGTGGCTCACGCCTTTGATCCCAGCACCCAGGAGGCAGAGGCAGGCAGATCTCTGTGAGTTTGAGGTCAGCCTGGTCTACAAAGTGAGTCCAGGCCAACCAAGGCTACACAGAAAAACCCTGTTTCAAAAAACAAAATTTATTTGAGATTCTTTCCTAAGCCTCAGTGTAAGTTTATAACATGAGTTCTTATTCATTTTTTTTCTAAAGTACTACTATACTAATTGATTGTACTACTATACTGATTGATTGATGATTGATTGATTGATTTTTCCATGAATCTGACTCCTTGGTATAAGTCTGGGTATGTTGCCTCTCATCTTGTTTTAACCTGATAAAGTTATGTATTTTGAGACCTTCATTCATTTCTTTCATATTTTTCCAATTTAGTGGACTATGCCTTTAGTTCATATCCTAAAGTTTTTCTGAATTTCTTAGCGTCTGCTGCAACACATACCCTCTTTAATTCTCTTAACTTGTCTCCTCTCTCTCTTCATTAGTGTAGGTAAAATTATTGGTCTAATCTGGGGTTCAAAGAACCAACTGTTTTTTCACTAATTCCTTATATTATTTTCTTAATTCACATTTCATTAATTCCTAGCCTGGTCTTAATCACTTTTTTGTTTCTGTCTACTGCTTGTGGGTTTGGATTTTCTTGCTTTTCAAGACCCTGAGGTGCACTGTCAAGCTAACTGTCTGATTGTGTGTGTGTCCGTGTGTGTAGGTATGTGTAAGAGAGAGTGCTAAAGCACATGTGAGTGAAAGCTATAGAACATAGAGTCAATGTCAACGAGTCTCATTTTTTTAAGTAAGTGATAATTGAATCTGAAAACTTATGCCTGATAGAGAGAAGTTGTGCTCTCAGGGGACGGAGAAGAACAAAATTTTTGGAGGTAATTGACCCACTGGTAGGAATGATTGAATTTTCAGTTTAAAACTGAAGTCCTCTGGGCAGCTCTGTGGTTTGAATAGAAAATGTCTCCAACATATTTTGAGCGCTTATCCCCAATTGGTGGTGCCATCTTGTGTGTGTGTGTGTGTGTTGGGGGGAGGGGAAGTTGTGTTATGGGGCCTTTTGGAGGTAAGGTCACTAGGAGTGGATTTGGAAGTTACTATCCTGGTCCCAGTTTCATCTGTTCAATGCCTCCAGGTCAGTGACCATGTGAAAAGCTCTGGTGCACACTCTGCCATCATGAATCAAGATGCCCCTGCCCTTTCCTCTGCCATGATGAACTAAGACTGTTTGAGCCCTCGAGAATTAATCTTCCCCACTGTAGGTAGTTCCTGTCAGGGATTCTGGCCACAGTGATGTGTAAGTGACTGATGCAAACAGAATGACCAGGAATCTATCAGGTTTAGCCTGGTTCAGTAGCTTTCAAAATGTATTCCCTACCAACTCCAGAAAGTATATTCTCTGAGAGGCAGCCTAACGTATGCGGACATGTTACTGCAAACAAAGGCTCTACAAACAGTCCGTGCCCTTCCTACTGGCTCTGCAGATGGACATTTCCTGTTCTTTCTCCCCCTTTCATCATAACAGTATTGGTTTCAACTAATGTGTTGAAATACATATTCTGAAAGTCACAAGCTCTATATGGAAGAGAAAGTATTTATGGTGTCAATAGATCCACAGTCCCAGTCTGAGAGATGCATACACTGGACTTCTGGATGACGCAACAGCATGCTCACTGCAAGGCACACATGCTGTGTGTTCAGAACCCAGGCTTGCAGCGACTCTGTGAGACAAGACGCAGGCCAGCACTGCCAGAAACACCTCAGGTTTATTACACAGTTGATTTAGTTTTTGATCATTGACGTTCACAAACATGTCATCATTACCAATCTGATGTTTGCAACCCACACACCCCTTCGCACAACCATCCACGGAGTTGCAAGCCATGGTTTAGTTAACTAACTGTGATCTAGAATCAGCAGAACGCAACTGGAAGACTTTCTACTCAACAAGGTAGTTTGCATCAAGGTGCCAACAGCACATTGTTTTAACTTCTTTTTAAGAACACAGATAATCAGCATTTTAAAACAGAGACAAAGTATTAATAATTAGCTTCTCCTAAAAGGGAGAGCAACAAAGTACTGGCCACATTATTTTTTTGTCAGTTCTTCATTCTGGAGCCTTGACTCCAGCAACTCTGCTTCACAGTTCATCCATTTTAGCTGGAGTTCTAGTAAGCGCTGTGCTCACCATTTAAACTAATTTTTACTTTAATTGCCACATAATGGTTATTCGTGTTTACAGATATATGTCCATGTATGTTTACATCTTATGAGGATTAAGTCAAGCCAATTAAATAACTAACACCTCATGCACTTATCATTCCTCTGCGATTGGAATATTCAAATTTCTTTCTTCTAGCTCTTTTGAAGCACTCAATACAATATGGTAACCGTATTCATCTCACTGTACAATGGAACATCAGAACTTATTTTTCCTATGTAACTTCACTCTGCATCTCATCAACCTCTCCCTGTTTCTTCCTTTTCTGCCCCAGGACAGCCTTCTACTCTACACCTTATGAAACCAACTTTACATTTCACATGTTTAATCATCCCTTACCACATCTTCAGACATCAAAATCCTCCTGCTGTGCTGTAGGCTCACATATTAGCTGTGGCATTTAACAGTTATTTGACCCACACAAGTAATCTCTCAAATTCAGTGTGCTGAAGAAAAAAATGGATGCCGTTTAGATCATGGGACACACTGTACATGAAAACTATTACTTCTTGCCCTTACTTTCGTGGTCTGCTATATCTTAGGCCACCCCCAAGCAAAGGCTTGTATGTTGAGCTAAAGCTCAAACTTCAAGTGCATCTCCTGGAGTGTAATTTAGATTGCTCGAGTCTAAGTGATACTCTGTTCAATGTACCAATAATACCTGGGAAGTAACCAACACTGGATATTCACACCAATGTCACAACCAACAAGTGTGACAAGAAATTGCCTCTAAACCACCCATACTCATCCCCAAATCCCAAAGTCATTCCAACCATGTTTGTGAGCTGACTGTATTCTAGTTGTTCAGTTTCCCAAACTCTCCTGATAAGAATGCTCTGGGGCATGGTTAATCAGGCTGCCAGGTCTCTTCCCAGGAGATTCCGATCCTGGGGACCTACAGTGGAGCCCATGCATGTGTAATTTTATTAGCATCAGGATAACTTATCAATATGTTGAGACCTTAGAATAACCTCTGTCCTTCTGCAAACGCTGTTCTCTCTTATTAGGAGGATCGCCATCCAAATACCCACTCAACACACTAGCCCTTACTGAACTGCTGACCTGTTTTTAGTTTGACTAAAAAGAATTCACATAGGCGGCACAGCAGGATATCCCCCATTCTGCCGCCTCTACCATCCAATGCTCAGTTA